ACTTGGGCAGTGACAACAAAACCACAAGTAATGTCACGTCCTCACATCGAGAACTTGGGCAGTGACAACAAAACCACAAGTAATGTCACGTCCTCACATCGAGAACTTGGGCAGTGACAACAAAACCACAAGTAATGTCACGTCCTCACATCGAGAACTTGGGCAGTGACAACAAAACCACAAGTAATGTCACGTCCTCACATCGAGAACTTGGGCAGTGACAACAAAACCACAAGTAATGTCACGTCCTCACATCGAGAACTTGGGCAGTGACAACAAAACCACAAGTAATGTCACGTCCTCACATCGAGAACTTGGGCAGTGACAACAAAACCACAAGTAATGTCACGTCCTCACATCGAGAACTTGGGCAGTGACAACAAAACCACAAGTAATGTCACGTCCTCACATCGAGAACTTGGGCAGTGACAACAAAACCACAAGTAATGTCACGTCCTCACATCGAGAACTTGGGCAGTGACAACAAAACCACAAGTAATGTCACGTCCTCACATCGAGAACTTGGGCAGTGACAACAAAACCACAAGTAATGTCACGTCCTCACATCGAGAACTTGGGCAGTGACAACAAAACCACAAGTAATGTCACGTCCTCACATCGAGAACTTGGGCAGTGACAACAAAACCACAAGTAATGTCACGTCCTCACATCGAGAACTTGGGCAGTGACAACAAAACCACAAGTAATGTCACGTCCTCACATCGAGAACTTGGGCAGTGACAACAAAACCACAAGTAATGTCACGTCCTCACATCGAGAACTTGGGCAGTGACAACAAAACCACAAGTAATGTCACGTCCTCACATCGAGAACTTGGGCAGTGACAACAAAACCACAAGTAATGTCACGTCCTCACATCGAGAACTTGGGCAGTGACAACAAAACCACAAGTAATGTCACGTCCTCACATCGAGAACTTGGGCAGTGACAACAAAACCACAAGTAATGTCACGTCCTCACATCGAGAACTTGGGCAGTGACAACAAAACCACAAGTAATGTCACGTCCTCACATCGAGAACTTGGGCAGTGACAACAAAACCACAAGTAATGTCACGTCCTCACATCGAGAACTTGGGCAGTGACAACAAAACCACAAGTAATGTCACGTCCTCACATCGAGAACTTGGGCAGTGACAACAAAACCACAAGTAATGTCACGTCCTCACATCGAGAACTTGGGCAGTGACAACAAAACCACAAGTAATGTCACGTCCTCACATCGAGAACTTGGGCAGTGACAACAAAACCACAAGTAATGTCACGTCCTCACATCGAGAACTTGGGCAGTGACAACAAAACCACAAGTAATTTCATGTCCTCACATAGAGAACTAGGGCAGTGACAACAAAACCACAAGTAATGTCACGTCCTCACATCGAGAACTAGGGCAGTGACAACCAAACCACAAGTAATGTCACGTCCTCACATAGAGAAGTAGGGCAGTGACAACAAAACCACAAGTAATGTCACGTCCTCACATCGAGAACTTGGGCTGTGACAACAAAACCACAAGTAATGTCACGTCCTCGCATCGAGAACTTGGGCAGTGACAACAAAACCACAAGTAATGTCACGTCCTCGTGTCGAGAACTTGGGTAGTGACAACAAAACCACCAGTAATGTCATGTCCTCACATCGAGAACTTGGGCAGTGACAACAAAACCACAAGTAATTTCACGTCCTCGTGTCGAGAACTTGGGCAGTGTCAACAAAACCACAAGTAATGTCACGTCCTCACATCAAGAACTAGGGTAGTGACAACAAAACCACAAGTAATGTCACGTCCTCGTGTCGAGAACTTGGGCAGTGTCAACAAAACCACAAGTAATGTCACGTCCTCACAGCGAGAGCTCTGGTAATGACAACAAAACCACAAGTAATGTCACGTCCTCACATAAAGAACTAGGGCAGTGACAACAAAACCACAAGTAATTTCATGTCCTCACATAGAGAACTTGGGCAGTGACAACAAAACCACAAGTAATGTCACGTCCTCACATCGAGAACTTGGGCAGTGACAACAAAACCACAAGGCACTCTAATGAGCATTTAATAAAAAACATCAACCTTGATATCACACAAAAAAATACCATACCACAGCCATGGAAAAAACGTCTATCATTCTACTATACTAAAATGCACATGGCGAAGGAAAGTGTCTTTCATTCTACTTTACTAAAAATTCACATGGCCATGGTCAATTTCTGAAATCTGATGAATTTTGCCCCAAATTAATTTTCCACATGAGAAACAGTGTATATAATAATGAAGAAAATAGCTATCAAAATTTTATCGTGCAAATCCCACCTATTTTCTAAATTGAATTTATAATGATATACTTAAGGGTATGATTAATATAGCCTATAAATATGAAACATAAATACAAATGTACTTATAGATCCAGGTCAAAGTCTAAAGTTTTCTATCTAAGATAACTTCATGTATGTGTGCTGGTGATAAATTTTAACCTGATCATATATGAACAATAGAATTTCATGGTTGAAATCCCTACCTAATATGGGCAAGCCAAATTATCTTTAGTTAGTGCGTAGTACATTTGTCAAGCTCTTAAACTTCAAAAAGGAAACAATATATATTAATCTTAAATTAGATTTGATATTGCTGTTGTGAACGTTTAGAATAAGTGGGTAAGGAGACGCTGACAGGCTTGATCTCTGGGGGTTGTTTGACTGGTGATTCGTGACCAATATAACCCACAAATACAGCTGAAATTCTTTAAAGAACACTGCTATGACGCAAGTTGTACGTGAGCCTTTTTGTAACTATTGTTGTCTGTTACAGGACAAGTCGGTGGAGGTGTAAATAGATATCCTTCAACATAAGGAGAGACACAATTAGACCAATGAGTGGTGATGCTAAGCCCAACACTCACTGTCGTGTGTAGGAACTAAAGTATTCTATACCCTGGGTGATAACCTTAATGGATCTAAAGTATTTACGCATGATATTTACCCTTTATATTCATCAATGCAGGATACCTATCGTACACAAACCGTCCCAAACGGGTTACAACTCATTATAACTCATGTTCTGCTGGATTATAACTTGGCTCATTTGAGCTATTGTTTTTGTCTTTGTCCATCTTTGTCCATTGTCCTTCAACTTTTTTCAAATTTTCAGTTAAACTCAAATTCTACTCATTTCATTCAGCAGAAGCTTAAAGGGAATGATCAGTGCATGGTTGTTATTTAGGAGCAAATTTGAAATCTAATATGGCCTCAATGGCAGACATCTTGAAAAGTTATTTTCAATTTCTACTACAATTCACCTGAGCTTACCTTTGCTAAAAATTTACGGAAATTATCGAAGTATAGTCCAGACCTATATTCTTGTAATTTTGGAGCTGTTTAAAAATCAGGATATATTTTTCTGATCTGTTAACAACATAGTTTTTTCACCTTCACAGAAGCAGACATGTAGATATATAGAGTATAGTGTGTCATGTGTGGGTATTTGTTGCCTTCAGTTCTACAGGAGTTGTTAAGTGCTGTCATGGGTGTAGAACTGTTACATACATTGCTGTGATCTCAGACTAAAGGCTGCATTCTGTATGATCGGGGGAACCTACTTGCCTATTCACTCTGTCAGCTGGAACCAATTGTATATTGGTGAGGTCATGCGCTACCTTGTCTGGAATACAAAATGAAGAGTGCCTGACTCTTGTGTACAGACATACATTCCATGTACTGTTTTTTTTCTTTTCTAAAATGTCACCATTATCTTTATAATTGCTGACAGCGGATATTAACTGTCTACTATAAAGATATACCAAAGAATTGCACCAAAAGGAGTGATTGACATAAGTTGATAGAATTGGATTAATACTTGTTGTAAATTTAATGAAGTTTGTGTTATACCAATAACCAGAAGAAGGTGCATTAGTTGGCATAATAAGTTGTTTATCTGTCAAAACATTAACAAGTTGAGTGTATCAGATTGGTCAAGCTTGAAGAAAGGATTGAAGTTGTATAAGAGATCTATATTAATCCTCCAGACATTGCCTATATCTGACAATACTTGGCTTCTGTCCTGTAGTAGGTTATATAGATAGCTACTTGATAGGAGTAGTTTTACAGACCACTGAACACTAACTGATCTGTACTAGACCCACATGGCCAGCACCAGCCTTCAGTACATATCAGTGACGTACATATTTTCATCCATCTTCTATAATCATTGTAGCATTTGTAGGACTTTCCACTATTCAAAAGTTGTAACATTGCATACATGAAATTCAGAAGGTTGATGTACATGCATACTTTGACATTACAATAACCAATGCAATCTGACTTACCGGTAGTGATCAAGTTTGATGAAAATTTGTAAAATTGACTTTTTGGCACCTAATCAGTATTCAGTCAATCAGCATTTGGTTATGGTCCAAGATGATTCTATTTCTATCGCAATTGTAAATGGAAAAGTGTGTTCTGTGCATAGGATCCAAAAAGCTTTGAAAATGTTAAGAACTTGTCAACCAGGCAGGTGTCATAATCGAACAGACATCAGAAAAGTAACCGATTTAAATATATACCCATATTAATGTATGAAAATACAATAGCCAAATAATGAATGTACTCATATATTGGACATAGACAGATTAAATAAATACTTGCCATTGATTTATCAAGTATGATATCTTGGGATGGCAACATGTGGGGACGTTGTCTGCATATACAATCTCCATACTTGTATTAATGTAACTAGTGAACAAAAATACATAAACAGGACTTCCCAATCAGGTATTTTGTAAAGGTATAGTTTTAAGGTTTCACCATACGTATATATATATAACAGGATTTTTGCTGTTTTGTGGCACTGCTGGTATTGATACAAGACTTTTGTATATTGTACGGTGCATGTACTGGGATTGTCCAAGCTGAGAAAAGGACACCAACACCATATAGGTACAATGTTGAGCTGTAAACATTGTTTTGATGTGTTGTGTATATGTTTTAGGCATACGAGAAGCGATTTCCCACCTGTAAAATGATTCCAGTGTTCCTCGGCTGTGAGATCATTTCAGAGCAAAAGTCGGAGGATGGAGCTGAACATGTGGTGGAGCGCAGATGTAAACTTAGTGTGGATGCTCCCTACATACTGAAAAAGGTAATAGCTGTACACATCCTTATAAACACCCTACATATATATACTGAAAAAGGTAATCACTGTACACATCCTTATAAACACCCAACATATATAAACTGAAAAAGGTAATAGCTGTATACATCCTTATAAACACCCTACATGTACATACTGAAAAAGGTAATAGCTGTACACATCCTTATAAACACCCAACATATATAAACTGGAAAAGGTAATAGCTGTACACATCCTTATAAACACTCTACATACATTGTATATACTGAAAAAGGTAATCACTGTACAAATTCTTATAAACTCTCTACATACATTGTATATACTGAAAAAGGCAATAGCTGTATACATCCTTATAAACTCCCTACATATACATACTGAAAAAGGTAATCACTGTACACATCCTTATAAACACTCTACATACATTGTATATACTGAAAAAGGTAATAGCTGTATACATCCTTATAAACACCCTACATGTACATACTGAAAAAGGTAATCACTGTACCCATCCTTATAAACACCCTACATACATTGTATATACTGAAAAAGGTAATAGTTGTATACATCCTTATAAACACCCTACATACATTGTACATACTGAAAAAGGTAATCACTGTACACATCCTTATAAACACCCTTCATGCATTGTATATACTGAAAAAGGTAATAGTTGCATACATCCTTATAAACACCCTACATAAACATACTGAAAAATGTAATAGTTGTATACATCCTTATAAACCCCCTACATACATTGTACATACTGAAAAAGTTAATCGCTGTACACATCCTTATAAACACCCTACATGCGTTTTAAATACTGAAAAAGGTAATAGTTGTATACATCCTTATAAACACCCTACATATGCATACTGAAAAAGGTAATCACTGTACACATTCTTATAAACACCCTACATACATTGTATATACTGAAAAAGGTAATAGTTGTATACATCCTTATAAACACCCTACATAAACATACTGAAAAATGTAATAGTTGTATACATCCTTATAAACACCCTACATACATTGTATATACTGAAAAAGGCAATAGTTGTATACATCCTTATAAACACCCTACATATATATACTGAAAAAGGTAATCACTGTACACATCCTTATAAACACCCTACATACATTGTTTATACTAAATAAGGCAATAGTTGTCTACATCCTTATAAACACCCTACATATACATACTGAAAAAGGTAATAGTTGTATACATCCTTATACACACCCTACATATACATACTGAAAAAGGCAATAGTTGTATACATCCTTATAACCACCCTACATATATATACTGAAAAAGGTAATCACTGTAAACATCCTTATAAACACCCTACATATACATACTGAAAAAGGTAATAGTTGTATACATCCTTATAAACTCCCTACATATACATACTGAAAAAGGCAATAGTTGTATACATCCTTATAAACACCCTACATATACATACTGAAAAAGGCAATAGTTGTATACATCCTTATAAACACCCTACATATTATACTGAAAAAGGTAATAGTTGTATTCATCCTTATAAACACCCTACATATTATACTGAAAAAAGGTAATAGCTGTACAAATCCTTATAAACACCCTACATATATATACTGAAAAAGATAATAGTTGTATTCATCCTTATAAACACCCTACATATATACTGAAAAAGGTAATAGTTGTATTCATCCTTATAAACACCCTACATATTATACTGAAAAAGGTAATAGCTGTACAAATCCTTATAAACACCCTACATATATATATTGAAAAAGGTAATAGTTGTATACATCCTTATATTTACATTTGCATGGCATTGTCACTATTAATACAACACTGACCGGAACTACAATATCCAAGACGGCTGCTGAAATATCACTGGGCATTGTGAGAATTGACAATGTCATTGTAAATTTATGGGCAAAATAAAAAATAAAATAAAAAATACTTTTATTACAACAAAAACAAGACCAAGGTCTGCAATATCGTAGAAAATGCACATCGGTTGAAATCACCAATGCCGGCAATGGAAACAATTTTAACACTCATGCAATTTATCAGAAACATCGTCTGTTACACTGCACTGATCAACAGGGGTTCGTTACGAATGTCTGAAATACACATATTCTATAGACCTACTGACACATATGTTACAGACCTACTGATATGAGTCACAGCACACATAAATATTTCAGACATTTGTAACGAACCCCTGTGCTCCGTCGCAAGATCACTCACTTCAAACGATATCAGTTTCACGCGTTTCGCAGCCACGGTTTCCTCAGTTTCTGACGACATGTCAAATAACGAGGCTGTTTTAGAATCTACCGACTAGTCAGATTCCCATACAATCAACAAATAAATTCACATCTGGATTCTTCACAAAATGAGCAAAGAGAAAAGTTTGAATCAACTTCCAGAAATAACTCCCTCGTGGAGGGCAAGGTCGGATTTACGATGTTCACTGTATTTATCCATGCGCGAAATTTGTTCAGGGGAAAAATCGAAACAATTTCAAATCTAACTTTCAGCTCAGAGTTCTATTGATAAACTTAAATCACCCTATAGACATATCATACGCAAATGTATTGATATTGAATTGTGTGCATTATGTTGTTTGCTTGCAAAGCTGTGTCATTCAAATAGATCATAAATACCATACAAAAACAGTTCAATGCTTAAATAAACACCCTACATATATATACTGATAAAGGTAATAGTTGTTTACATCCTTATAAACACCCTGCATATACATATACTTCCAAAGGTATTACTGTTCATCTCCTTATACACCCTATATACACCATACTAATACAGCTTACATATGATCTATGTAATCTACCAAGTGATTATAAGAGGCCCGATGTGAACGAATTGAAAGTGTTGGATAACAACTAACCGAAAAAGCTACAACCTTAGAAAAGAAGCAATATTAAAGTATATATGTATATTACAATGAAATTGATCATTTTGTTATGGTGATGCAGGCATCAATAACCATACATATGAAACTGATCCTAATGTCACAACAATGGCTGTGTTTCCCTGTCAGTGCTCAGTAACCCAACTGCTAAATCCCTGTGTACAGGAAGTAATTAGCTATCTCATTAGCCTACTGTCAGTAATTACTGGTGTTAACAATTTGCATGTGATTAAGTAAAGATAACATCAAGGTCGTAAATAGGTTAAGCTACTGTGATATCACAAATCAATTTAACTTTCTGTGTTTCTGTTAAGTACTCCTCAGTTCATAAAATCAGTGAATGTACCGAAAGGCCATGCACTGATTTATATGTATGTCACTCTAGAAAATAAGGAAAACGCCAGTTTCCTTGATGTGACAAATTATTGTTAGTCTCCAATCATGTATGTGTTTATTAGTTTTGATTGTGGTACATGTATAAGGAAGAAAAGTGAGGGAAGAATTTTAACGTGATCGGTCTAAAGTTTGATTTCCTTAAATGATCAGTGTTTGCTAAAATCTCTACATTTGGTATGACTCCTGGTAAACTTTTACTTGGTGTGTATGAGAAATGTGTCAGTCTGGAGGGAAAACTATATATGTTGGTACAGCAAATTCTTAATTCTCTCGTGTACATATGTGTATTGTTATTATTGACTGCTCTGATGAAGTGAAATATAGCAAAAATGTATCTGTTTGTAATTAAGTATATAGACTTCCTATGCAGTCACAACTGGTTACTTGATCCGAGGTTATTGTGACAGACTGAAGACTCCTGTATTGATTTTACAGAATCAGTCCAATATCCATGTCATTTACACCTGGCCACGCTGTATAGGATCACAGCTTCTCCTCAGAGCATATCAGAATCGGGGAAGTTCGCACCATCGAAATGAAAGGTCATACCATAAGTTTGGCCAGGACACAATATTCAAATACTTAACATGTTGGTTTTTTCAAAGATGGTCGTTTGAAAAGAAATGATTTGATGGCATGCATTGATAAGTATGGGTAGCGGCCCGTCTATGAATTTTCAGCAGCCCTGAGGGTCAAGCATGTCTTCTGTCTCCTTGTATCTCACATTATGGTTACCATTTCATGTCTGTATACAATTTCAGATCATGGGCGTCGATCATGTGTACTTCATTCAGAAGAATGCCCTAGACAGTCGCAACCGCGTCCTCAAAATAGATGCCCACAATGAGAGTTTCTCCTCGAGGATTATAATCAACGAACACTGTCAATACTCTGTGAGTCCACCGCCCACAAAGGCCACAGCAGCCTACACATTTTTGGGGATAAACAATAAACTGTAAACATTTGTGTGGAGGAGTACAACTTGAAGGTGTCTGAATTTAACTGTTAGATTTGAGTACTTACACATGGACTTAATTATTTCCTCAAAGTAACCAATGTCATTTCCCAAAACTGATCTCTAATGAAATCTTAAATCTTTGTGTTCTTTGAACATTACTGTGACTATTTTCACACAGGTACACTCCGAGAATCCTGACTGGACCTGTTTTGAACAGAGTGCAACCTTAGACATCAAACATTTCTTCAACTTTGAAAGCATGGTTGAGAAGATAGCCATGAAACAGTATGCTGCCAATATAAAGAAGGTCAGTGGGAAGGTTGTGTGCATCAGTGGATGTGGTTCAGTGCCCCTAGTACTCTAGATCTCAGGCCACGAGAGATGAATGTGTCCCATGTTTATCAACGGTCGTGGGCCTGGGTATTGATTACCTTAGCGTCGTAGCTATAATGTGGGTGTTAATTTAGATGAGACATAAGTTCTCTGAATGATAAGGAGTGGAAGGTAATGATGCTTAGCCTGTAGCTTTTTTTAGTTCTGTTAAATATATTTGACTTTAATCCATTTTAAGGTTTCAGGTGTGAGTTTAATACCAAAGGCAGGCCCATTAGGCCTTTTGTATTTATACAAGACTTAGTACTGTTTGTTCATTTGTAAACATAACATTACATAGTATAAAAATTACACTGTTTATGTTACACATATTGTTTACATGATAAATAGTGTATTTTTGGCTTTAGATAATTTGTGCTGCTGGAAAAACTTGCTGTAAAACTAATTTTTGCTTAAAATTCTTGAAAGTGTTTAATTCCAGGGTAAAACTACAGACTATGGTTAGTATACATAGGACAAAAATGTTTGTACTCCTGTGTTTTACTCTGTAAACTGATGACCAAGGTCATAAGAAATTGAAATCCATGTGATGCTGTTTGTTTGACTTGCAGGGTAAGGAAGTGATAGAGTACTACATCAATGAGATTCTGAGTTCTGGTGTTCCCTACACACCTCGATGGCAGCCCCCAGAGACTGCAGCCATGGATATCAAGACAGATGACACACCGTCCCAGGACAGTGGCTTGAGGAGCCGTTCCAATAGTGCTCACAGCCATAGCAGTCAGTCCAGTCTGGTACTGGGGGCTACTGCTGCAACTATATGTACTGACAAACTCCCTATTAACCCAGAGGGTAAGCCTAAAGTAACAGTTATCTTACTAGTCTGGTACTGGGGGTTAATATTGCAACTATTTGTACTGACAAACTCCCCATTAACCCAGAGGGTAAGCCTAAAGTCACAGTTATCTTACTAGTCTGGTACTGGGGGTTACTACTGCAAATATTTGTACTGACAAACTCCCTATTATATTAACCCAGAGGGTAAGCCCAAAGTCACAGTTATCTTGCCAGCCTGGTACTATGTTCAGGTACTGTGAAAAGCTGAAAATATAAAACTCTATGTATCATATCTGGACTGTATGTCTTGTATACTTCAATTATATAGATTAGGTTCATAATAACGGCTCAAAAATGAAATTATTAATTTTTTGAAAAAAGAAGGCTGTGTTGCAGCTCAAGGTAAAGGTCCTGTCTGAAAGTTTGACGATTACTTGGTGATCATTTTTTCCCCTTTGATTAAGTGACTACATTTGGACTGGTTATGAAGCTATAGAATAATGTGTTTATTTTGTTATTGTAGGTTTGTCTACCCCTGACAAGACTGGGAAGCTGGAGGATGTGTATATTGAGCGTTTCCTTGGCTCCCTGACTCCGGTACAGGAAAGCAGACTAGTACAGCTACGACAGTGGCTACAGGAAACTCACAAAGGAAAGGTAGGTTTGCTCACATACTAACGTGTCTTAGCCATCAACAAATAGAAAATTGGATGGAATTTAATCTCTTCAAGATTAAAAGTTATCATGAGATTTTTTACAGTGTTATATTTTATGGTTATAGATACCAAGAGATGCTCACATTCTGCGGTTTCTAAGAGCACGTGACTTCAGTCTAGACAAGTCACGTGACATGCTGGTGCACTCTCTAGCCTGGAGAAAGCTCCACAATATTGATCATCTACTGGAGACATACCGACCCGGAGACGTCATGAACCAATACTACAGTGGGGGTTGGCACTACAACGACAAAGGTAGGATACACGGCAAATATTCCTCAATAGCAGTAGTACAATGTGAAGCTAAATGTGTAAAATTCATCTTTAAGAAAATCCACATAAAATGCATACAGACATTGCTGTCAAAAATACAAATAGCACATGTTTGCTGTGATGAAAGAATATGGACAAGGAGAGGCAGGCATTATATTTACATTTAAACAAGGAAAGGCGGGCATTTAGTTTGTAGAAGAGCATTTAGTTTGTATTTTGACAAGGGGAGGAGTGCATTTAGTTTTTGTATTTTATTCAGAACTAGTACAGAAAACAGGATATGGTGATTATAAAAGGGTTATCAATCCTGATGTGTTTATGTTGTAGATGGACGGCCGCTGTATGTCCTCAAACTTGGGCAAATGGATGTGAAGGGTCTGATGAAATCTGTTGGGGAGGAGGTTCTCCTGAAACATGTACGTTGTTCTTAAATAGTACCTTACAGTCCTGTTAGCGAAACCAATTAGCATTCTAGCCAGCTTACGACCTGTTCAATTTATACACTGGGTAGATGATGTAGTATGTAGATACAATAATAATAATTTGAGGTTCTTATATACCGCTTTATCACAACTGAGGTCTTAGGTCATCTCAAAGCAGTTCACAAATTATTATCCGTGTTTATTGGGCCTTTGCAACCAGCCAATATCTTTCTCAACTCCCTTGGGAGCATACAGCCGGTGCTGAAAACTAAGGGCTCACAGCTAGATTCAACAATTCCAGCACTGCCCAACCACGTACTCATTTACAGCTGAGTAGACTGGAACAAGCGGAGTAAAGTATCTTGTTCTAAGATACAACACAGTGCCATGACGCGACTTGAACCTGCAACCCTTCCGTCACGAGACCGGCATCCTACCACTAGACTAACGTGCCTCTTTAGATAAACAAAGGTTCTATTAAAAGATTGTGTGATTGTTTACAGATATCTAGTATTTTATGAAAATGAGTTAGAGTTGTAATAATATTACAGGTGTCCGTTTTCTAAATAAAAGAAGAGTTGTATATTTCACTGTGAGTAGTATCCCGTTAGCTAAATAAAGAAGGCCATATATTTCAGGTGTTGTATACATATAATGAGGAAGGGTATTATATTTCAACTTCAGGTGCTTTAGTATTTATAATGAAGAAAGGTTGTGTATTTCAGGTTTTGTATGTGAATGAAGAGGGGTTGCGTAGAGCAGGAGATGCCACTCGATCGCGAGGTTTCCCTGTGAGTGCCTGTACCTGTATTGTTGACCTGGACGGCCTCAGTATGCGACACCTATGGAGACCAGGGATACGGGCCCTGCTCAGGATCATAGAGATGGTGGAGGCTAACTATCCAGATACGATGGGGCGCCTCCTCATTGTGCGTGCCCCAAGGGTGTTCCCTGTGCTCTGGACCCTTGTCAGTCCCTTTATTGATGAAGACACCAGGCAGAAGTTCATGATTTATGGAGGAAATGACTATCAGGGACCTGGAGGGCTCATTGATTTCATAGACAAGAAATACATACCTGACTTCCTGGGTGGAGACTGTTTTGTAAGTTAAGTTTAATCCAGATTTTCATTTATTGTTTGCCTTAAATAAATCAAGTTTTGCTCATTTTATTAGTGATAATTACAAAAAAAAGGGTTGTAGAACCATGGGATTTGGTCTTGGTACAGATTTATTATTAGAATTCTTAAGTTTTGTGGTTTTGATTACATTTATTGTTTTGACTGTTTGGTTAACAGTGTGATGTACCAGAAGGAGGGTTGGTGCCTAAGTCCCTCTACAAGGAGGAGTTCACAGAAAAGGCCCCAGAGGGCCCGCCCCTCAGTACAGATAGTTTGTACCAGACCTGCCATATTGTCAAAGACTTTCCAAATGAGGTAACACCTTACACTTTTTAAGAGAGATAAGTTTATATGAAAAACCAGTTTTCTTCTTGCTGTAATATACTCAGTATGCATATTGAGATTTCACTTGTAAACCTATAATTAAAAAAGACTTCAAAAGAAAATCATCTTAGTGGCATGCTGATATTTTGATGAAAAAGAGGACATTGATCAATCAAAGTTTAGAAAAAGCTTAGTATTAAAGATAACCATGGAACAAAATAGGTAGAATAATACTGCAGTGAATCAAATTACAAGGTATTAAACTGCCACATGGGACAAATTACATTTTATTGCCATTGGACAAAATAGATAAGATTATGCTGACAGGAAAATTTAAGACTTTTGTGATAAAAATTCATTTCCAAACAATGGATAGTATAATGTATAGTAACATTGACTTTTAATAACATGTTGTCTTTATTGTCCGTAGGTGTTGATATGCGTCCCACAGAAGGGATCCGTGATTACATGGGACTTTGACATTTTAAAGGGTGATGTGACCTTCACCGTGCTAAGGTGTAAACACGAGGTGTCGGGAGACCCCCTACACCAACACCACATCAGTGGGGCCTTGGGTGGCATTGGCTCCACACAATACATCGACAAAACCATGCAAGTGGGCATGGACCTGAGCATTGTAGAGCCACCTCATATATGTAGAGATGGGGATAGTGTTCAGGTAAGTACCACCTTGCTCAGTATGTCTTGTTTTCCCTCCAAACGACGTTCCAGACTTAACAACATATTTTCTGCTCTTTGAATTGCATATGGAAGTCGATTAACAGCAAACATCTATAAATTTCTGGCAATAGCTTTTTGCAACTTGATTTAAAATAAACCTTATTTATGTTACAACAAGTAATTTCAGCTTATATTAATCAATGATGTTGGCTTTCATGGAAGCATGTTTAAGGCCTTGATGTAGAAAGAAATCGGAGTACCTGGAGAAAACCCACATGGTGACCCATGGTCAGTGCCTTTTATGTCCAATTGGAGAATCACACCCAGGCTGTCCTGGTGGAAGGCGAGAGCACTATCCACTGCACCAACCCAACTTGAGAAGAACTTGATTAACTCTTTACTCCATGTTTCCTTGACAGGGATCTCATGTGACCAGTCAGGCAGGAAGTTACATATTACAGTGGAAGTACTTTGATGCCGGGAAAGCTGTGTTTGACTTTCCACTGGCCACACACAAATCCAAGGTCATGTATTACACAGAGCTACTGGAGTCTGCAGCCTTTAGGTTTGTACTTAAATGTCACAGCCTTAGCAATCTAATTTGTAATAACAACACCAATGTTATGTTACTGCCCGAGTATGATATACTGTTTGTCCATCCAAAAACAGTTTTAACAAATGTAAAAATAACAGCTGTTGTCAATGTAAACAGGCTTGGCGGTCAAACTTTTCACAAGTTTTGGAGAATTTACTACGTAACTGTTGGTTGTTCCAAGATACATTAATCAGTTCCCATTCAATATTACAGACTATTTACTTCTTGCAGAGGGTCAATGACCAGCTTGCAGTCCAGTCACAGTGCATTCTCCTCCCTTAGCATTGGCACGTCACAGAGCAGTCTTTCCGCAGTCACACCCGACGGAATCCACAGGTAAGTGCAGTCTTCCCGCAGTCACAACCAACAGCATCTACAGGTAAGTTCAGTCTTCCTGCAGTCACACCTGATAACATCCACAGGTAAGTTCAGTCTCCCCGCAGTCACACCTGACGACATCCACAGGTAAGTACAGTCTGTCCGCAGTCACACCTGACAACATCCACAGGTAAGTTGAGTCTGTCCACAGTCGCACCTTACAACATCCACAGGTAAGTACAGTCTGTCCGCAGTCACATCTGACAACATCCACAGGTAAGTACAGTCTCCCTGCAGTCACACCTGATGACATCCACAGGTAAGTACAGTCTCCCCGCAGTCACACCTGACAACATCCACAGTTAAGTACAGTCTGTCCACACTTCGAGTTATCCGAGTATTCGAGTTATGCGGGTTCATACACAGTCACACCTGACCACAGTCACACCTGACCACAGTCACACCTGACGACATTCCACTTTAATATTCTGTGAAGATTTTCATAACTAAATGTATTGAGACTTTTTACATCTAGAAGACCTGAAAGGGAATGATGATACGGGTATCTTTTGGTGTGTTAGTCAATGCAGCTGATTATTTTACATTTATTTTATTATTCTAGGCTAAAAAGGTGACAGAAGCTTGAAGATTTTGATGGAGAGTAAAGTTTTTCGGTAAGGGCTAGCTGATTACCCTACCTATAACACAGAGGGGACAAGTACCAGAGCTCTGAATGTTAAGGATGTGGCATGTCTAGGAGTTGGTAGAAAGCTGTCTCAGTGGTTACTTGTGTTGGATCAGAGATCATCAACACTGTTCCTACCTCATCACACAGCCAGCTGACCAGGATGTGCAGCAACATTGGTCAGTGGTCAGACATTGAACTGCCCAGTACAGGAATCGGCATTGGTCAGCTGGTGTTTATTGTGTGTACCATATCTGACCATCACATCACAACGCCTCTTACACTGCATTGTTTGTACATTGTACATTGTGATAGTCATTGTTAAAAAAACAGTGTTTCTGCTCCATTCCATACTTCTGTAAACTACACTCACTTCTCCAGTCCACCCAACTCATGTAGTTAGGTAAATAACACTTTTCTAGTCCACTCCACTCCCATACCTAGTTAGGTAAATAACACTTTTCTAGTCCACTCCACTCCCATACCTAGTTAGGTAAATAACACTAACTTCTCCAGTCCACCCTACTCATATACAGTCGAACTTCGTTATCTCGAAGTCGACGGGGTCGTCGGAAACTTCGAGTTATCCGAGTATTCGAGTTATGCGGGTTCATATATTTGGTATGAAATTTGCTGTTTGGACATGGCATTAGCAGTCCTTGGTTTGTATTTATAGCCAATGCTTATAACCAATTGATAAATGATGTATGTAATCAATTACAATATAACAAATACAGCTATGTTATTTTACAATAAACACGCTTACAAAAAAAAGTAGGGTATTTCCGGGAAAAAAGTATTTTCTTTTAGTGCGATCAGAACGGTTGAACCATTTTGTGAATTCGTTACAAAATATGGACGAGCCTAGTGATTAAATGTTGTTTTTGGCGAGTCTTGGCAAAGTCTTTCTAGATCTGCATTTGTATTTGCAACTCTGTCAAGTTTTATCTCTGAAGTGTTACATTTAAAAATTGAACTATTCCGCTGTCTCCAACCTCGTACTATACAATGCGGAAATGAAAGTGTGCAAGTCTAAAACAAATCACTAATGAAGCGTACGCACAGTTGATTCTTTAAATGAAAACACACACAAACAGATTCTTTCGTATGTGTAACACATTGATTCGTTAAAGCTAATTATGACACCTGACACCTCCTCAAATCGATGTAATCAACAGCAATTATCATATTGTTCTGAAAATCTCTCAATCGACTACCAAAGCTATACTGGCCCCTGTAAAAACACGAACCCGTGAAGCTGTCCTATGTTGTGATTTAAACTGTTGAACTCTTTTATGCATGACCACGCTTTGTGACCATTTTTCCGGTTTGGACTGTTTTAAGTTTCGTGGACTAATCATTAAACGGACTCCCAGGTAGTACAGAATACGGTTGATAAACATTGATGAAGTTTGTTTTCTATTATGAACATCATGGTTTTGACAGTCTGCACACTTTACGTTCTTAAGGTTTATCATTAAATATTTTTACTGATTTCACAAAAGATGTTCATCAACACGGAATGGTGACGTGCCTAAGTTTTGTTTTTTATTTATATGAAATTTGAACACTATGAAGTAGACGATGTTATGATGTTGGATTTACGCTGTTGAAACAAATCTTGCTTCGAGGTATCCAAGTTTTTTCGTGTGTTTAGGCTTTGAATTATCAGAGTTTTATTTACTAAGATAAAGAAGGGATTTGGCCGGGACCGGAGAAATACTTCGAGATAAACGGGATCTTTGAGTTATTAGAGTTCGAGATAACGAGGTTCAACTGTACTTAGGTAAATAACACTTTTCCAGTTCACTCCACTCCAACCTAATTAGGTAAATAACACTAACTTTTCCAGTCTGCTCCACTCCATACCTAGTTAGGTAAATAACACTTCCCCACTCCATTCCACTCCATACTTAGGTAAATAACACTTCCCCGCTCCAGTCCACTCCATACCTAGTTAGGTAAATAACACTTCCCCACTTCAGTCCACTCCATACTTAGGTAAATAACACTTCCCCACTCCAGTCCACTCCATACCTAGTTAGGTAAATAACACTTCCCCACTCAAGTCCACTCCATACCTAGTTAGGTAAATAACACTTCCCCGCTCAAGTCCACTCCATACCTAGTTAGGTAAATAACACTTCCCCACTCCAGTCCACTCTAGCCTATTAGGGTGAACATCACTTGTCTAGTCCACTCCTCTTCCTATTAAGGTAAGAAGTATTCTTGTACACTATTTCTGTATGGTAACGTGCAGCAGACTTGATCAGTTGTTTTTAAGGCTACATATGACAATTGCCAGGTAATTGGTATCTGGCATGTAACACAAGTTGCCTACCACAAACTAGGCTCCCGTTTGTTTTGGGTAGAAAATGTAGTGAGTTGTCTCCCATTGCCCATGTGATAAAATGTGTATCTGTGATACTGTATGTCACGCGACTACGATTTGGTGTAGGTTGTATATCAACTCTGTTCCAAAAGATATTTTTATAGCAGTTTTTCCCTTCTTAGTATGGTATTTCTCTAAATTCTTGATCTGATTCTGATACTACATGCTGAGTATGGGGAACAATTAGAGGACTTTATTATGAACATAGTTCAATTAATCTAAAAATCCTTTGTTTCACTTTTTGCTGATTTATCTGTTTTACATATTTAGGTTTTTGATCAAAAATATACTGTTGAAAATAATGAGGGAAAATGAGTTACATCAATGATACAAAGACAAAATGGACATTTGTAAGACTTTGGAGGAGTTAACCATACTGGGTGCTGGTCTTCACAGGATCATACATATTATATAATTAGTTATACATGTTTTTAGTTATTACAGAAACAGGATTTAGATTTATTTTTATGTTTTATGCAAGTTATTTTAATGGTATTTTGACTGAGAATGCAATGCCATTTACAGTAGATTTCAGTTTTGATGCTTTGTGTCCATACTGTAATCTATCTGTTGTGTCGCACACTGAGACATGTTATACACTCAAGTGTTTCTGAAAACGAAAAAGGAAAAGACAAAAATAATTGGCAACAGTTTAGATAGTTTGTCTTTTGGAGGATTTTTGAGAGAAAAAAATACACCTGTAGCACTGAAGACCAAGATATTTAAAATAAGATATAGGAAAGAAATAAGGACTTTATAGGTATAAATAAGGCAATCCCAAACCATGGCATTACGGTGTCATGACATATCTAAGACTGAGTTACCAGTTGTTCTAGCCATATTACTGCTGCTACGTGTATTAACAACATTGTCTACTAACTCTCAGAGGAATCGTTCATACTTATATGTAGTTTGAATTGATTTATAACTTATCAAAATGATTTTTAGGAGGAGATTTATCAAGCTTGCTTGTCTACTTGAGTAGGTACCACAATGTACCAGACCTCATTTTTAAAAAAACTTCCCATAGATATCATATTTTTTTACATTATCATAAAGATTTGGTTGGGAGAGGGTACAGAGTACCAGGATGTATTAAGGGTATGATCTGATATAAATTTTACATCATCGTGTATTAATCATGTTTTAACAATCATGTTGTGTTTGTAAGGATATTTGTATTAAGAATTTTGATGCACATTTTGTAATTGTGTTTTTGTATCATTTTATTCATTTGTTAATGATTTAGAAAAATACATTGTTTGCAAATTGATGTTGAATGTCTAGAAGAAAGAGAAATTGAATATTATGTTTCTTGTAAAAGAAATAGATGTAAAGATGCTATAGATGCTATAGATTAGAAGTTGTAATCTAATTGACTGCTCGTTATCAAACCCTCAGTGTGTCGTACGGTTACTGGTTCTAGAAGTATCTCACTGTCTTTAAGTGAATACAAATGTCATGGTATACAAATATTGAAGGTCAGTATGCCACATAATTGCTCTTCCATTTTTTGCAATGTAACTTTATATATTGTTACTTCATCTATGAAATGGCACTTGATATTTAACAGGAGTTCACATGCACTAGATCTCCGATATGTGGAGCCTGATCGACCACAGACATGTGAACCACCATTACTTTCGTGTATTTTTGCGTTATATTTCCACACTTTGTCACACGAGTTATCTCCCTTCAGACATGATAACTCGTTCAATTAAAGATTATTTAGTGCATTACTACTTGGCATGTAGTTTCCAAGCCATCACTACTTAAGCTGAGTTCTTACCAAAGTGGAGGTAGGTAGCTACACCTCCAAACTGAGTTTTATAGCTAGTATTAAGGTCTACTTCAGTGGATATGAATATAGTGTAAAATCATAGATCAAAGATAACAAATCTCAACTCCTCAGAAGAGAAGTCAAGTACTTAAATGAGTCAGGTAGCTACCAGTATCAAAACCAAGGCGGGTAGATGGTAGTGAGGCTTGATTCAGGTAGGTGATGTCAAAGCTGAGTCAGGTAGGTGATATCAAAGCTGAGTCAGGTAGCAGTTACTGAGTCTGGTAATATCAAAGCTGACTCAGGTAGCAGGTACTGAGTCTGGTGATATCAAAGCTAACTTAGATTGCTTTCTTCAAAGCTGAGTCAGGTAGCAGGTACTAAGTCTGGTGATATTAAAGCTAACTTAGATAGCTTGCTTCAAAGCTGAGTCGGGTAGCAGGTACTGAGTCTGGTAATATCAAAGCTAACTTGGATAGCTTGCTTCAAAGCTGAGTCAGGTAGCAGATACTGAGTCTGGTAATATCAAAGCTAACTTAGATTGCTTGCTTCAAAGTTGAGTCAGGTAGCAGGTACTGAGTCTGGTAATATCAAAGCTGACTTAGATTGCTTGCTTCAAAGCTGAGTCAGGTAGCAGGTACTGAGTCTGGTGATATCAAAGCTAACTTAGATAGCTTGCTTCAAAGCTGAGTCGGGTAGCAGGTACTGAGTCTGGTAATATCAAAGCTAACTTGGATTGCTTGCTTCAAAGCTGAGTCAGGTAGCAGGTACTGAGTCTGGTAATATCAAAGCTAACTCAGATAGCTTGCTTCAAAGCTGAGTCGGGTAGCAGGTACTGAGTCTGGTGATATCAAAGCTAACTTAGATAGCTTGCTTCAAAGCTGACTCAGGTAGCAGGTACTGAGTCTGGTAATATCAAAGCTAACTTATAACTTTATATATATAAAGAGTGCTCGGTATTCCTCAGTGATATACCTATATATATATAAAGAGTGCTCGGTATTCCTCAGTGATATACCTATATATGTATGAAGAGTGCTCGGTATTCCTCAGTGATATACCTATAGATATATGAAGAGTGCTCGGTATTCCTCCGTAATATACCTATATATATATAAAGAGTGCTCGGTATTCCACAGTGATATACCTATATATGTATGAAGAGTGCTGGGTATTCCTCAATGATATACTTATATATATATATGTATATCACAGAGGAATACCGAGCACCCTTTATACATATATAGGTATGTCACTGAGGAATACCGGGCACTCTTTATATATCTGTAGGTATATCACTGTGGAATACCTAGCACTCTTTATATATCTGTAGGTATATCACTGAGGAATTCCGAGCACTCTTTATACATATATAGGTATGTCACTGAGGAATACCAAGCACTCTTTATATATCTGTAGGTATATCACTGAGGCCTGCCGAGCCCTCTTTATATATATATCGGTATATCACTGAGGTATACCGAGCACTCTTCATATATATATATAAAGAGTGCTCGGTATTCCTCAATGATATACCTATATATATATATGAAGAGTGCTCGTTATTCCTCAGTGATATACCTATATATATATAAAGAGTGCTCTGTATTCCTCAGTGATATACCTATATATATATATGAAGAGTGCTCGGTATTCCTCAGTGATATACCTATATAGATATAAAGAGTGCTTGGTATTCCTCAGTGATATATATACCTATAGATATATGAAGAGTGCTGAAGACACCTATTTTATGTATGGTTGTGAGGTTTTATACAACAACATGTTTATAGTGTTTGTAGAGGCACTTGACAATTGGATTTCTGTGACATGTTAGAAATAAATAAGCACAGCTGAAATGTGTAATAATTAAATATTGTAAATTTGGATAAATGTACAAAAATCTGTTATGTATAGATTGACCTCTGTGCCAAATGTTACTGTGTTGATGTGTAAGCACAGACTAGTTAAGGAACTACTATTTATTAGTTATTCAGGGAGTTTTAGGTGTTATAGGGTAAAATATTCAAATTGCTGCCAAATTAACTTCAATGTATTTTTTTATTGAGGGATGTGGTTCTGATCTTGGTTGATATCTGAAGTTTACCCGGGAAAGTTCCCTATGAAGTATCAATTGAAGTTCAAGGAAACTTAGAAGTCTCTTTCCTCAACATTTATGACATTATGTTGAAATAACCCGGAATTTCCCCTCACTTAACATATATAAGACATCCAGCTTTATTGTAACAGGTTCTTGTGTGAACCATGTAATAGTAGAACTATATTTTGTAGTACATCCAAAGATCTTAAATTACTTAAACTTCACGACCTAAAGGACCAAGTAAGCTTACCGGTACGCTGTGGTGCATCGTCTGTCATTTATGTCTATTGTCAGCTATCTATTTAAAATACTACTAGTCCAGAATGGTTGAAGGGAATTAGATAGAAAATTGGGACGGAGCCTTCAATGATCAAAGAAATCAATGTTGTACATGTATAAATGAAAATATGGCACCCCTAGGAAAAAGGGTAACCCCAAAAGAATCAAAGATTACTCCCCAAAAACAGATGGATGGATTTTGACCGAACATATCATAGAGCATTGAATTCAATGTTTGTAAAAATTAAAAGACTACTTACATGTGAATATACAGAATATAAGAAATTTTGCAAAGAGCATCTCTCCATAAAGGGGATTTAATGGTGAAGGGTGTAGTTGGCCTCTAGACAGAGTGTCTGGGCTCATTAGGAAAGTGGTAAAATGCTTTGACTTTTACTCTAGGTCTAATAAGCTAATGTCGACAAAATTTGATGAAAGTGAAAGATGGTGGGGGGGAGCTGATTTGAAATGCAATCTTGGATTAAGAAGAAATTGGAAATGACTACCACGGTTTCAACATTTTAACTTGTGTAATTCAGACCACAACAGAAACAGGTGAGCGAGACAGGACTGATGGTTCTCTTGTTAGATAATATGTATATCAGCTGTAGAAATAGGTATATGACCACCCATTGTCTCACGGTGAGGACATCCTCTTCTCTTACCCTGGACAGGGATATCCACCATTTTACCGGTGTAAGATTTTCTTATCTCACCCTAGGGTTGAGACAAGCTACATGTGTTCTTTGCACATTCTCAACAATTGTATGACATCATAGCAACAATACCATGACGTCATGGCAACAATACAATGACGTCACGTCGACAATTCAGCTGCATCACATCAACATTGTCTTGCATTGATGTAACGTCTATATAAAATACATAAGAGGGTAAACAGGGTAAGAGAAAAATAATCATTCACCCCCTTGGGAGTGAGACAGGGTAATCTCAACCATCGGGGTAAGATTCTTAAGCTGTCGAACACTCTGCAAGCCTCGTGTTTAAAGCCTCGTGTTTGACAACTAAAGAATCTTACCCCTCGGGTTGAGATAACTCTGTCTCAACCCCAAGGGGGTGAAAGATTCTATTAATCTATGTCATCATCATACATGTTATTATCTACGCATTTCTATGTGATATACATCTCTTCAACAATACTATTTCTGTAGTCATCATATTTATATGAATGGACTAAAAAATTACAGTACGGTGTGTTTGTACTTTCTACAATACAAATGCAGTTATTGCTTTACAAAGGTACAAATGGAATGGAAAGAACCTCACTACCACTCCTTGTACTGGATGTGGATATTAGCAGGAAAACATTACCCTTATGTCTGACACGAATCAAAAACTTGCTGCATTCATAAACCTGTGTAATCACAGGTATTATGGTGAACCACACCAACTGACAATGAAGTGTAAATATCATCGTTATATTCATTTTAATCCTCATCACTGTGTATTGACATCCTGTAGACGAAAAAATGGTGTGCACAAGTCGGAGAATCAAGCTGTACCTGGTGGTAAGTGTAACCTACAGGTATCTATACAAGTTAAACTATTACACCGGCATAAACATGTTTACACTATTGCATAAAAGTATCTTCATGTCACACTTACATACAGGTCTATACATGTCACACTTACATACAGGTAACATTTATATCACACTATTACATGCATCTACATGTTGCAATATTACATACAGGTATTTACGAGTCAGAATATTTCCTACTGGTAAATACATGTTATTGTTACATACAGGTATATACGAGTTGCAATATTACATACAGGTAAATACATGTTGCAATGTTACATACAGGTAAATACTTGTTACTGTTACATACAGGTATATACAAGTTGCAATATTACATACAGGTAAATACATGTTGCAATGTTACATACAGGTAAATACTTGTTACTGTTACAGGTATATATATGTCACAGGTATCTACATACATGTGAACACTTTGATGTACACATCACACAGCAGTCAATACAATAATACAAAGAACACTTACCATAGATACAATATAGCACAATCTGTATGTAACTGTGTGTGTGTTGACAACATTGTATGAGGGACAAATGTTTGTGTACAAGTGAGGAATGTTATAAGGTTATCCGTTTTGTTTTACCTAAATGTAACCATTTTGCAATACATTTTGAATTGTTAGCAATAAAATTTAACCAAACAGATCCTATGTGTTTGTTTTCCTTTTCCTGAACTTACTGATAACTCATGGCATGTTTGCCCTGTTTTGACTTTTGGTGTACATGGATTCATTGTTGGGGCTGTACATAGTCGTCTGGGTAGATTTAGAGATACTGAACTACATAGTTTACTATACTTAAACAGAAAGTTAAAAAGTAAAAACTAACCAACAGAGACGATAGTGATCCTGCTAACATTCCAACTGGCATCGTTATCTAGGCTTTACCCAATATGTGCTGGAGGTAGACCCATGTCTTTTTGAACTGTATTAACTCATTCACCCCTGAAATTTCATAATGAACTATTCCAACCTTTTAATTGTAAGAGCTATGGGTTAAAGCAAATTGATAGGCTCTCAAAAGTAAAACGATGTTTATTTTAAGGTAAAGGGTACCAGCAAGATATACTACCACTGTCACTGTTGTAAAATATTTATTTTAGTCCCTTTCAAAAGAAGAATTCCATAAAAATAGCAAATTGTCGTACATTTAACAGATGTATGGTTGTTGGAAATTGGAATGTTTGAAAATAGAAAAAGAAAACAGAAAAACTGCAGGAATCTAACTCAGTACCTTGACAGTGCAAAGCCTAAACTCAACCAATGTCTCCAGCTTGGAATCATAATTGCAAGACATCAAAATGAGTGTTTAAATTAAGGACCACAAAGCTGATCTACCACAGGAGAAGTTACACTTAGTCAGAAAAGTTATCTCAGTTGCTACATCTTCTATATCAAAGGGAGAATACTCCAAGTCAAGAAGTGGAACTCTTCTTCACGAGCATATAGCTGATGCAGTGATACCCTTTACCTTAAGCAAACATGAATATGTGGTCTTGTTGCATTATTATATCCACATATAAAGCTTTCTCATATTTTGCAGATTTTAAGGAACAAGCAATACTTAGAATGAAAATTAGTACATTATCGTGAAGGGATCATGTACATAATGCCTGGTGAGAGAGGGGAGAGAACTCTTCATAACAGCTTAGCATGACGGAGGATCCCACTTTAATTACATATTGGGAATAAAATATTCCTTATTTTTTTCTAATTCAAAATTAATGTGAGATTTGTTTAAATTTGTATTTCATTGTATTGTAGTACTATTTTGATATATCTAATACTACTGTATATACAGTAAATGGTGTTTACCATTGACTTAAAGGTGACGGATGGAAACAATGTTTCGACAAAGTCCATTTAAAATATAAAAGCACACAATGCTTCGTTTAGTCCCCATAAGATATAAAACGATACAATGTTCAGGCAAAAGTCTCCAGGAATATAATACAATGTCTGACGCGAGTCCCTATAGAATGTAAACAGATACAATGTTCAGACTTATTCTCTATAACATATACAAATCATACAATGTTTGGCTGAGACAGAAATAAAGCATAAACTGTTCGGAACATAAGATGAAACAAGATATTAGGGTAGTATTAATTACTAACTTGATGTGTTATAAAGACATTCACCTTGCTGGACAGACGGTGGTTATTTCAAATACAAACTCATACAATCACACAAAATAAAACTCTCCTCGTATACAATCACACAAAATAAAACCCTC